AATTTCCATCGAAGTTTACAGTTACAATGTTTGTACTTATGGTTGTTCTTTATCTATTTGTAGAATAAATTGATACAATGCAATATATTAGCATACATTTAAATGATGTCGTATTGTTAGTGAACACATGCGTAAACAAATACAGTAAACACATACACATACATATACATGTGCATACTGAGTTTTTGACCACCAATTGTAATAGCCGGGCCTCCACATTAGACTTTATGCTACAAACGTACTCTTAAGCAGTACGTAAATTATTTACGTACTCATAATAGGGATAATAATATTTATTTCAAAAATGGCAAGTATGTATGATACAATCTATGAACATATGGTATGGCTCTCATAGTCGCTGTAGTGGTTCAGGAAAGATTGATGGGAAGAATTGGTCAGTAAATTCCCGTTTGAAGCTTGGGCCAAGTGAGTCGACAATGGAAGATATGTGCTGAGTCAATTCGGGCCGGTGTTGACAAAACACTGTTACTATCGAATGCTCCATATATTCGCTTGCTGACCTACTAAGTAGAGTACCCACCTATGTGGTACAGATCGTGTCTGCGCCGTGTAGTGCCGCGGAATGTGTTAGTGCAGAGTACGAAATACCGAGAAGGACCAGGTTATCCGTCATAATCCGGTCGAGAAGCGAGGATGGGGGTAAGCCAATGCCGCACCAGACCACGGATGAATTCGGTATGTGTTGGTTGGCCTGGATAAGAAGTATCATAGTCGGAACCAACAAGCGCGATGATTTGGTTTGAACCGATATTTGGAAGTAGTACTTCAACAGCGTGATTAGCAGGAGTATGGGGAATATCTGTTGATATGTCAGGGACGGGTGAGGGTACGGTGGTTCTTCAACATGCTGGAGAAAAGATCCAAGGTGTTCGTGGAGGGTCCAGATTCCGTGGAAGTAGTGGCACTCCTATAATTGCTGAAGGAGGTCAGGGCCAATGGGCGGCAGTTTCGGGCCTACCAGGATGCGTCGAATCAGTTGTTTGATGCAGGTAAAGTAGCTGGTATTGAACTTGTGGCTACCGGGGCAGACAGGGCAGAGACAGCCGTCGGTACGGCAGTCGATCAATGTGAACAGGTACGTATTCGTTACAATCATAGCACAGAGCCGGATTGGTGTAGGCTCGAAGTAGCGGTTGAAGCTGTCGTGTCTGGCTGTGTCTCGGCTTGAGGCTGGCGATTTACCTATAGCCAGTTGGTAGTAGTATTGGCGCCGGGTCATTGCCGCGAACTACTTGTTGGACCAACATTTTGTTGAGTTCTTCCTGATGTCGTCACAGCGTTAGCGGAGAGCTACATGGTCGGGTGTACGCCCGCTCGTGGTTTCGTGTACAGTTTTCAGGTGAGCATAGATACTGTACGGGAAGCGCAGTGATGGTTTATCGTGGACCCAGGCGGATTGCGTCATAGAGGTAAGTGGATTTTTGCTTGCCGTTGAGTCGAGTTGTATTCCCAGGCAACCTCCGAGTTAGTCCGCGAATGGTCGCGCGGGGAGCAGGTAGCAAAAGTGAATTACGTTTGTTTGATGTTTGGGAAATCGAGGGTATTTAGTGCCCGTGATGATGGCTGCTGCTTGGATGAGTGTTGAGTTAAAGCGCTCGAATAGGGGGTCCAACGCTTCCTTCAATATAGGCAACAATGTTCAGCCCATATGTAGCCGTGGATAGGATGAATGTTTTGAACATCACCGGGCGGTTGCGGTGGTGTCGCCAGCTGAAGCCATGGAAACCATAAGCGCGGAAAGAGGCGATACCCAGAGACAATGCTGCAACCAGGGATTCAATATGTCTGGCGAGGTTGATCCCTGGTACTCCATGAGAGAGTGGGAACCCCGGATATTTGTGGGTGCTATCTTCAGGAGGTAACGTGTGTTCCAAGGTGCGTGCGCGGAAAAAGGCGATACCCGGTGACAATGCTGCAACCAGGGATTCCATATTTTAGCTCTTAATAGCACGAGGAACTTACGTTTCCTAAAATGGCTTTTAATGGTTTTATTAATTAAACCTTTTCCATTTAACATATCAGGTATTTGGATGAGGCCATTAAAAGGGCTCAGTAAAATACCAAACATAAAAGAGTTGGTCTAGTTCTATTAATAAAGCTTTATTTACTTTCCAATTCTATTTATATCTGAATACTTCGGTAGCGAGATGGCTCAACCAAATATAGGTTTCTAGGGACTATTAACGTTACATAGTTGATCCTCAGATAAGCCAACTAGATGTGCCAGTCTGATCTGTTGGTTCCGCCTATGATACTTCCAATACAGGCAAACCAGCACATATCAAGTGCATCCGTGGTCTGGTGCGGCATCGGTTCACCCCCAACCTTGCTCCTCAACCGAATTATGACGGATCACCTGGTCCTACTTGGCATTTCGTACTCTGCACTAACCCATTCCACAGCACTAAACGATAAAGACCCGATCCGAACCTCAGAGGTGGGTACGCTATTGATGGTGTCAGTTTTTTGTCAGCACCGGCCTGAATTGACCCAGCGCATATCCTCCATTGTCGACTCACTTGGTCCAAGCTTCAACAGGAAATTTATTGTCCACTTCTTTCCATCGATCTTCCCCGAACCACTACAACGGCTATGAGAGCCATACCATATGTACAAACCTTAACTCCTTTGAAATAAATAATATTGTCCTTATCTTATTCTTCATTAATAATCACGTTAGGAAAAAAATGGTATTAAGTTTTGGATTCTGCCAATTTGGGGTTAAGTACTAATAGAAATTGGGTTCACATTCTTAATTATTGTAAAATAATTATGTGCTTTTACAAAATGCAACAAGAAAACGTACAGATCGATACATAGTAATGACATGGTAGCTCTGTGCACTACTGTATAGATTACTCTAACTAATAAGACTGTCCGAACTGGTTCCAAGAATTCAATTATTTAGGCCGCCTTTGCCAACTTCGCATGGCAAAACCGGCCTTAGAAATCTTCATAAAAAAATCCCGCACCTGGAGAAATTTTTCGCTATTTTGTTAAAATAAATGAATTTGAAAATCCATTTTGCAAATTCTTTTTAATTTTTCATTACAATTCGGGACTCCAATTCTTTTGAAGAATTGAGGGGGGCCACCGGCCACCAGGCCAGGGCCCAGGGGTCTATTTGGTATGTTAAATGTTTTTAAAACAAATTATGTACTGCGAAAAGAGTGGATATTTCTCACTTTGTTAAAAAAAAAAACCTGTTGTGTTAAATTTAAATTTACTCCCAAGAGTTGAGTTATTACTAAACCCTTCTCAACCGATTCCCGAGAGAAGGCTGTGTCTGTGTCGCTCTGAGACATCTGTGACTGTGGTGTACATTTGGTTAAAAAATACGGACATTAGTCCGTTCAGCCATATTTTCTTTCTTCTAGTACAGTAGAGGTTCATGAAAAACCAAAACGAAAAACCATAAAACAATACAAATGTATGTATATAAATACTGTATGAATAGCCTTCTGTCTTTACTTTTTCGAAAGCTATGATAAATACTAATAAATACAGTACAGTCTCAGGCGATACAGAGAAACGAATGAGAGCTGCGGACTGCCTATATATTTGGGTTGTGAATAAATAAATACTAACATACTGAATAATTATGTACACCACATATTCACCGCAAAAGAGGTCGGTGCAACCTAAGTTTAGTTTTATCTTACTGTAGGCAGAGGGCCACAATATGTAAATCGTTGCTAGTGCTCATAGCCACCGCTGCGATACTATTCCATCTGGCAGAGCTTCCGTACGGTGTCCCTTATGGTGCCAGTTTCTTGCTGCGCACTGCGGTGAAGAAAAGTAGTGCACCCCGACCACACCTACCTGTAACCAGGAAAGTTTGTGTTAAAGCCAGGACGCACAGTGCAAATCAAGACGATTGGATGCGCGCATACATGTACAGCATGAAGTCTCAAACGATGGGTTCGTGTGAATATATATATATGTTTCTAGTGCAGATAATCTGTTAAATAGAGCGTATTTTGAATATGCCGATGAGTATATGAGACGGAATATCGATCTGATCGGGGTATCGTTTGTACTCCATCATGCGCGTGCAAATCGCAAAAAAATACCTATAACAACAAAGTTCAGTATGGGCAATATTGATCTTGCGTGCGGTGTTTTCCGTACGGAGACTATTAAAAGGTGCGGTATCACTTTCTTACCCACTACAAGGATCTTTGAAGCTGACTGGTACTTCTTCGAAAAGATTTTAAAGTGTCCAGGTACGACTAAGGTAGCCATTCCTGAGGTTCTACTGATGCACCAGTGATAATCCGGGGATGCATCGGCCCTTGTGTCACCCCCTTCTTTTTAGTTCAAACGATAAACGGAGATGCTTTCTGGCGGCCTGTTGTGCTATGCAGCATTCCTAACTCTGGATGACTACAAACGCGTATAAATACGATGTGTATATCTTCAATTTTCAGTCTGGTCTGATATTCTGTTATACCTGTACTAGAAGAGACAATCGCAGTCGTTTCGGCGACACAAAGTGGATCTGCCTTTTAGAAACCGTCCGATTCCGTTCTCTAAAGTGCAAGAAGGCTTTGAATACTGCCTGTGTAAAAAAAAATGCACATCAGGCATTCAGACTAGTACACCATCTACTGAACTGCCTTCGGCACGGCCGGTTTCACTATTACATAAGCAGCATATATTCTCATCCATAATATGCACAAAAATACACAAGGTTATCCCTACGAAAGAAAATATGACTTGGCCTACTAGTAGAGGCTACTACTACTAGAGAATTGATAGTAAGTAGACTATTTTTAAATAGAGTAAATAGATAGAGACTATGTAGTCGTTGTCAGTTGAGGCTAATATTGTTTGCACGGCAATCATGTTTTTTATTTTATTCTCCACTAGTAGTGGCTATGACCAGCGGGATGACTTAAAAAGTGCCGGACTGGGGTATTTTTGTAGAAATATTTTGAACACAAGACCCAGTCCTACAAGCCGGTCCGAAAATCAAAATGAGACCCGGCCGAGTATTTTAAAAATAAATATATTTAAGGATTATAAGGAATCAAGGATCAGTGTCAGTGTGAGACATCACTTCATATTTTAAACATTTTACAACCCTAGGAGCACCAGACAAACGAATCACCCACCATCTCACCCTGAGAAAGACAAGTTTTTTTATAGAAAACACCCCGGCCGAGTATTTATAAATATCTATATTTCATAAGAGGGACTACAAGGAATCAAGGATCAGTTAGTGTGACTTGTGAGACATCACTTCTCAGATATTTTTAAAAAAAATATATAAAACCATTTTACAACCCCAGGAGGTCAGGAGCACCAAACGATGGACATACAAACGAATCACCCACAACGTCTCCCGCGTTCTCGCAGTATGTGCCAATGGCCCGGACTCCAAAGGCACCAGCGGACCAATCACCAAAGCACGACGAGACTTTTCAGTAAAATCAGTAAATCACAGTCGGCGGGCTATAATAACTACCAAAATACTCTGAATTCAGAGTGCTGATGAGATCGTGCGACAGGTAGGGGATGTGTAAGACTTTTTATGTGACGGGTACAGTTCGGAGCATTGAAAGATCTAAAGACAAACAAATTACAAGAGCCTTGGAGGCCCTGCCGCCCTGGGACAGGTCGGAACTCGGTCACCCGCGGTAGTCGTGACTCGGGAGTCGGGACCCGGAAGGTGCAATCAACAACGGTTCTATTTAAAGAAAAAAAATACAAGCTTTTTTATTATTTATCGTCATCTATAATTTAAAAAAATATTTATATAAAATTGAGGCCATGTTAAAAATTACCGACGTATGTACCTGGGTTTTCGGAAGAATCAGCGGTCTTATTGAAAAAGCAAGTGGGAACTGTAGTTCTAAAGGGAAATACACCGCCCCCTCCTGGCCAGAGGGGAGATAAAAACGAGTGGGTCTGTCTGACGGAGAGTCACGGACTTGTCCGTACTCCCTTAAAACTACTTTTTCTACGAGAGAGCTGGAAGCCTATTTAGATGGTCATGGTCTTGGATATATTATTCATTTATATAAATGTATAGAGCACATATTCACTGCATAACAGTTTAATTGATCACTATCGGTCTGAAGGAATTGGCGTTGATGCACCTTAGGGATAATGCTTGTAGGATGGGCCGGAAAGTATGTGTTTCATTGCTCATACTCATAGCAGCCGCGTCAATGCTATTCTATCAGAAATATCTTCCGAATGATGCCAGTTTCTTGATGCACACTGCGGTGGATGAGAAAAGTAGTGCACCCCGACCACACCTACCTATACCCAGGAAAGTTTGTGTTATAGCCAGGACACACAGTGCAAATCAAGATGATTGGATGCGCGCCTACATGTACAGTATGAAGTCTCAAACGATGGGTAATTTCTCGCTTTCCCTCGTGAACACAGACACTGGCACACATGATACGGATATAATGACTAAAGAACGAGAGAGATTCTCGAGATTGGTCGAGTCCATGGACGACGAACGGATTACTTTAGCGCCTACTCTCCCACAGAACACGCCCGATACGTATGGCTATGTGGAAACGGACATGGAATTGGCAAGGTTGCTCGCGAACGAATCGTGTGAATATATACATGTTTCTAATGCAGATAATCTGTTAAATAGAGCGTATTTTGAATATGCCGACGAGTATATGAGACGGAATATCGACCTGATCGGGGTATCGTTTGTACTCCATCATGCGCGTGCAAATCACAAAAATTTACCTATAACAACAAAGTTCAGTATGGGCAATATTGATCTTGCGTGCGGTGTTTTCCGTACGGAGACTATTAAAAGGTGCGGTATCACTTTCTTACCCACTACAAGGATCTTTGAAGCTGACTGGTACTTCTTCGAGAAGATTTTAAAGTGTCCAGGTACGACTAAGGTAGCCATTCCTGAGGTTCTACTGATGCACCAGTGATAACACTTTTGATGCGAGTGTGGATGCATCGGCGAACGAAGAGCCTTTCTGGTAGCCTTTTCAGCCATTTCCGCGTCACGAAGTGGTCGTTGACGCTTAGAAAACGAGTGCTTCTTTTCTCAACGTGCAATGAGGATTTGATTAACGCCTATGTAAAAACGTGATACACATCAAATAGTCAGACTAGTACACCATCTACATTACTGCTAAAGGCACGGTCAGTTTCAATATTAAATAAGCAGCATATTTAATCATATATAATGTGCTTACAACTATGTGTATAGGTGTATAGCACATACAGCTTTCCCGTAAGCGCTCCAATACCTACACACTTACACACGCATATATATATATATACATAAAGTATATATATATATATGTGTGTGTGTATTTATAAATATATACATATGTACATTATATATGTATATATATAAACACATATATGAATATATATTCATAAAAATACTTTATCTCTGTATATATATATAGATTTATAAATGTTCATATATATATATATATAAATTTGTGCACACATATGTATATGTGTTTGTGTATGTATAAATATATATGTATATATATATATATATATATGTATGTGTATATATATATATAAATGTGAATATATGTGTATATATAT